ATCGGACAGTAACACCCGTACGATTGTCCAGGCCACAGCTATTGCACAAAAGGTATTTGTGCATGAATGTGGGCCTACACAGATGAATATGGGGTGGGGTGGGTCTACATCGAATCGATAGGCGTTCGATGGAAGGGATCCACGGTGCCTGCAGAGAAGATGCTGAGCTGTCTAGCAGGCGGCTTGTGTGTTTCACGGCCCCGTCTGTAACTTTGTCCGCGTGCCGCCGTTTCGCCTCCTCCCTCTGGAAGAGGCCCCCGAGGAAGATGACATTGGCCCGTCGTTTTATTAAGTAAATATTCAGGCCGAATGCAAACTTTGGAAAGCAAATACAGTACTGAAATGCAAATTTGTCGTGGATGCCGCAGCCTAACCGTGAACTCATTGCTTCCCAGCCGCTTATTTATTCGGCTGCCGCCCGCACTCCCCCAGGAGAGATAGGGCCGGGTGAACATTTGTCTGCCTGGATCCGTCCACTGACATCCTTGCAGCCAACACAGTGTGACATGAGAGTGTTGCCTTGGTGTCAGGACGCCGTTCTTGAACCAATAAGGAGCGCTTGGTACATTCGCAGAAAGCAAACCTTCCAAGGGCATCCATAGTTCACGGCAGGACAATTTCCCCCTCCATAGTTTTATCAGCACAGCCAAGATGTGGATCTTGGTGGCACCTTCCACGTCCTCTGGCTTCCCGTTCCTTCCATATTTCTCTCCAACCAGGTCGTTGTAGGGAACGCCAAGCCAATATCTAGCAGATTAATTGGTCCGTAGGCAGGATTCTCTGCCAAAGGAAATACTGTCGGGAACGTTGGAAGGGGAAGCAGGAAAAGAGGAAGACGAAATACGAGATGGACCAATTCCCTAAAGGAAGCCATAGGACTGGGTCTGCAGGAGCTGAGCAGGACTGTGGTGGACAGGAGGACTGGGAGGAGGCTCATTCATAGTGTTGGCATGATGGGTCAGAGGGGACTTGATGGCTCGAAAGAACAAGGATCTGTCACAGGGGGGACCCTAGGATGGGGATGGCCTCCCCAAAAACTGTTTGTGTTTCTCCCCAGACCTGTCCAAGAGCTCCCCAGACTTCCACGCCCTCCCAACTACTCAAAATTTACAGTTTCTACTAAAAATGAAAATTCACACTTGAATCATCCTAAGAACGGATGTGGTTACAAAAAAAGGCCAATGCTATTTTACAATGCCCTTAACACAAGTCTAGTCTCTAAATCCCGCGAAAATACAGATTCCCCTCGATGTGGCAGTGGTTTAGCCCACACCTGGAGTCTTGTGTCCAGTTCTGGAAACTCCACTTCAAGAAGGATGCTGACAAATGGGAACAAGTTCAGAGGAGGGCAATGGGGAGGATCAGGGGCCTGGAAATCAAGCCCTAGGAGGAAAGGCTGAAAGAATCGGGCCTGTTTAGCCTTGAGAAAAGAAGACTTAAGGGGGGGATAGGATAGCACTTTTCAAAGATTTGAAAGGCTGCCATCCAGAGGAGGGGCAGGATTTGTTCTTGGTTAGATATGGGCATGAACCACAATAGTTAGTTAGATATGGGCATGAACCACATCTGGAGTCCCGAAGGCAGCATGTGTCG